AATATTATTCAGCCTTAAAAAGGAAACCCTGCCATTTGCAACAACTTGGGTGGATCTTGAGGGCACTATGCTAAGTGAAGTAAGCCAGACACAGAAAGACAAATACTGCATGATTTCACTTATGTGTGGAATCTAAAGTAGTCAAACACATAGCAGACTGTAGAATGGTTGCTTCCAGGGTCTGGGGTAAGGAGAAATGGGGAGATGATTGTCAAATGGTACAAAGTTTCAGTTTTGCAGGATAAGTTCTGGAGATACACTATACAGCATGTTACCTGTAGCTAACAATACTGTATGGTGTACTTACAATTTTGCCAAACTCAGTGAGTTCCAGACATTAAATATGCACAGCTTTTTACATGTCAATCATACCTCAATAAAGTTGTTTTAAAAAATAAAATAAGGGTGGCAGGATATCATTGTGAAAGAAAAAAAAGAAGAAGGAAAAAGGAGCACAGACTTCAAAGAGCACAGCCTTCAAAGTTACAAAAAGAACACAACCTAGCAGTCAGGCATTCTTCCTCTGCCATGACCCAGTCCTTAACCTCTCAGAACAACTTACTTCACTTAGAGCCAGAATAAAAATAACCCACTTTCAAGACTGGACAGCAGAGCCAGTGCAATCATGAATAGCAGTGGTTTACACCATAATGAGGGTAACAGTTAAAGGAGGTGACCCCAAAGCTCTGTCCTTCCTGCTACGGGCATCACTGTCTTCATAGAAGGCACATACAGCCAGGACCAGCCACATGGGGCACTGTCCCACCCCCCAAGGTGTGAGTGTCTACAGCAGTGAGATGGCAGGGACAGGGAAGAGTTGGAGAGGCCAGAGATCCAGGAACATGTGGGAAGATGACCTGGCTAGCAGGTGAAGGGCAAGCACTTCAAGGAGAATGGGGCAGGCAAAGAGACAAGATGGCAAAATCCCCCTCACCCTCTGCACTGGTCTGTCTGACATGGTCCCTGATCGGGAACCTGCTTCCCAGGGCACTGCCTTGATTCTCACTCTCAGCTCCAGGCTGCTGGACTCTGCCATGTCTCCTGGACATGCCAAAAAACTCCCTTTGGTTACATCCAAAGCAGGTGAATTCAAGTGAATACAGGAATATTTGGGGAACTTTGGAGTCCACATATTTTGTAGGCTGGAAGTGTGGGAACTTCCCTCCCTGTATTAGGGTTCTCCGGAGAAGCAGAACCAATAGGATAAATGTAGATGCAGGGATAGATACAGATAAAGATATAAGAGGACATTTATTATAGGAATTTGTTCATGAGATTATGGAAGCCAAGAAGTTTCACAATCTGTCATCTGCAAGCTGAAGACCCAGGAAACCTTGGTGGTGTAATTCAGTCTGAGTCCAAAGGCCTGAGAATTAAGAGACTGAGGTTTTAAGTCCTGGTCCAAGTCTGAGGCCTGGGAACCAGGAGCATTGATATCTGAGAGCAGAAGATGCACATCCCAGCTCAAGCAAAGAGCAAATTCCACCTTCATTCACTTTTCTCTTCTACAGGCAGACCTTGGAGATATTGCAGCTTCAGTTCCAGTCCATCACAATAAAGCAAACAACACAACAAATCAAGTCACACAAATTTTTTGGTTTCCCAGAGCATATAAAAGTTATGCTTACTCTATGCTACAGTCTATTATTGATAAGTGTGCAGTAGCATTACATCTAAAAAAAAACAATTTAAGTAACTTAACTAAAAAACAATGCTGTTTGGGAAGGGATGCCATAATTTTCAATTTGTAAAACAAAATGCAGTATCTGTGAAGCACAATAAAGTGAAAGAAGATAAAAGGAAGTATGCCTGCATTTGGTCCCTCAAAAGACTGGATGATGCCCACAGACCTTGGTGAGGGCGATCTTCCTTATTCAGGCTACTGACTCAAATGTTGATCTCTCCTGTAGACATCCTCACAGAAACATTCAAAAATAATGTTTTACCAACTATCCAGGCATCCCTTAGACCGGGAGTCCCCAACCCCCGAGCCACGGATTGGTATTTGTCTGTGGCCTGTTAGGAACTAGACCGCACAGCAAGAGGTGAGTAGCAGGTGAGCCAGCCAGTGAAGCTTCATCTGCCGCTCCCCATCGCTCGCATTACCACCTGAACCATCTCCCCCCACCCCCTTCCATGGAAAAATTGTCTTCCACGATACCAGGTCCTGGTGCCAAAAAGTTTGGGGACCTCTGCCTTAGACCAGTCAAGTGATACATAAAATGAACTGTTGCTCTTGCCTTGGAAGACGGGCTTCCTTTTGGAAGTTTTTTACCTGAGAATTTGCTTCAAAGGACACAGGGCCACTGCTGGCATTTCATAGTATCTGCTATTTGGTGATTAACTCATTCAAAAGAGAAAGGACTTTCAAGGAGCTGTGTGGTTTCTTTCCTGCCAAAGCAAATGTCCCACTTGCCAGGACATTCCACCTGGCAGAGGGTCCACTTTTTAATGCACCCGGGGAGCAGGCAGGGAATGGGCAATTTTGTCTGTTTATTTTAAGACACACACCAGTTATGAAGCATTTGGATGAGCCATGAATACTTGGTTCCTTCTTCAGGTCTAAACCCAAGAAGGGTTTAGAATGAAATACATTTGGCAGCACTCTGTATGCTGCACACGGGAAGAAACGAGCTATTTGTGGCTCCTAAAAATAAACCTTTCTGGTTTGTTCCTCTGCAAGTCCAATCAGACGCTGCTGGAGCCTGATAATAATGAGGCTGAGTTCAGCCTATCTTTCCTAGTCAGCCTGCCCTCCTGCCTTAAGGGGATAAAGCTCAACTGACCAAGAGATGCAGATGGTGCCCTCCCTCTAGGCATATATCTTTTTGAGTTAGTGTTTTCATTTTCTTTGGATAAATACACGAAAGTAGAATTGCTGGATCATAACACAGTTCTATTTTAAATTTTTTGAGGAATCTCCATACTGTTTTCCACAATGGCTGCACCAATTTACATTCCCACCAACAGTGCAGAAGGTTTTCTTTTTCTCCACATCCTCACCAATATTTGTTGTCTTTTGATCATAGCCATTCTGACAGGTGGGAGGTGATATCTCATTGTTGTTTTGATTTGCATTTCCCCAATGACTAATGATGTTGAACATCTTTCCATCTACCTGTTGGCCATCTGCATGTCTTCTTTGGAAAAAATGTCTTTTTAGATCTTCTGACCATTTTTTAATCAAAAAAATTGTTTTGCTATTGAGTTGTATGAATTCTGTACATATTTTGGATACTAGTCCCTTATCAGATATATGGTTTGCAAATATTTTCCCTCATTCAGTAAGTTGCTTTTCCATTTTGTTGATAGTTTCCTTTGCTGTGTAGAAGCTTTTTAGTATGATATATAGTTCCATTTGTTTATTTTTGCTTTTGTTGCTTTGCTGGTGTCAGATTAAACAAGTCATCACCAAGACCTATGTCAAGGAGCTTACTGCCTATGTTTTCTTCTAGGAGTTTTATGGTTTTAGGTCTTATGTTCAAGTTTTTAATCTATTTTGAGTTAATTTTTGTGTATGGTGCAAGAGAGTGGTTGAATTGAATTCTCTTGTGTGTGACTGGCCTGTTTTCCCAACACCATTTATCTAAGAGTCTGTCCTTTCTTCATTGTATATATTCTTGTCTCCTTTGTGGTAAATTAATTGACCACATATATGTGGATTTATTTCTGGGCTCTCTATTCTTTTCCACTGATCCATATGTCTGTTTTTATGCTAGTGCCATACTGTTTTGGTGACTCTACCTTTGTAGTATAGTTTCAAGTCAGGGACTGTGACACTTCCACTTTTTTCTTCTTTCTCAAGATGGCTTTTGCTATTCAAGTTTGTGTGTGTGTGTGTGTGTGTGTGTGTGTGTGTGTGTGTGGTTTCATACAAATTTTAGGATTATTTGTTTTATTTCTTTAAAAATGCCAATGGAATTTTGATAAGGATTGCATTGGATCTGTAGATTGCTTTGGGTAGTATAGAAATTTTAAAAATATTGATTCTTCCAATATGTGAGCATAGAATATCTTTCCATTTATTTGTGTTTTCTTCAAGTTCTTTCATTAACATGTTTTAGTTTTCAATATACAGGTCTTTAACCTCCTTGGTTAAATTTATCCCTAGGTAAATTTTGCTTTCTCTTTTGTCTTTTTCTGAATTTAAAACGAACTGTAAAATGTGTTTATCCATTATTTCATTTTTGTCTTTTCACTCTAATGTATAGTGAAGAAAGCCACAAAACCTTCTGCCTGAGACTTCATCAAATTTTTTTGTCATGCCCCTTATGCAATTTTAAAGATAGTCAGTGAAGTTAGTTGAACTCTTATGAGTCATACTTAAGTAGTTGTGGTCAATATATTTTAAATGAATCATCATAAATTCCACAGATATATTTCTATATTGACCTTTACTTTAAAACTTTATAAGCAAATAAATTTGATATTTCCTTTTATTTGTAGCCTTGTACTTAGAATTATATATTGTCTTTAAGAATTTGTAAGTGATTACTTGTTAGCTCTGGTATCAATCCTATGTAAAATATTGGAAAATAAAATACTATGAAAAATTACATCCTATTATAGTGTAATGAGACAACTATAAATATATTTAAGTAAAAACTTTATCTTTTTATTTTGAAGACAAAGCACTTGACTTGAAGATGATATTAAGTGTAAAATTATTGCAAATGAATTCTGTATATATCCAAATAATACGCACAGCTCATTAGCATAAGGGTCTTTGGTAAGTCAACTGTTCATCAACTTCTGAGTTCTTTAATATTATAACAAAATGGTTAAGTTGTTCAAAGATTTATCAAAGCTACTTATTTTGTAACATGGGTCCTATGTAACAACGTCTAGAGTGAATATACCCAGGTGGCCCAGACGAAAACCGTTATCCATTTTCTCTGGTTGTATAGTGATGCTATAATCAATCATGTGACTGTTTGCTAGAAATCAGCATAGGCTAGACAATCATTTACAGAGCAGTCATACCCCAAGTCAGTACTCACAGCTGGAGAATATCAGCGGGCAGGAGTGCTCATCCATGGGGAAGTTGTGCAGCTGCAGCTGGCATTCTGCATTTATGGTGAGCCTGTGGGGGAGCCAAGCATCACTCTTGTGGCCAGCCAGCGACAATCCAGCAAAGGCCCTAAGCAAAGCCAGGGGCGGTCACATTACTACCATGTGGGGAGCAGGGGCCTGGGGTGGCCACATAGAGCTCACTCTTAGCAGGGGCACCATCCATTCAGTATACCATTTGGGTTTTTTTGTGTTGTGTTACTTTGTTTTACTTTTAACTATCAGAAGCAGAGGAAGTTTCCATTATTAAAATTCCTGACTGTGTCTAGAAATATAAGCCAAGTAAGAGAGGAAACAAATCAAAACAATATGTCCTTGTTTTCATATGTCTTTGTTTCAATATGTCCTTGTTTTCATATGTCCTTGTTTCTTATGTCCTTGTTTTTAATCTGTTTGACTGAATTAAATCCTTCCTCCATTTTGAAAATGGTATATTTGCCTAAATAGGTATAATGTCAAGTTCATCCACTTGTAGGGAAGATTTCATACTTGGCTAACCCCCCTACTTGACTAGGCAGGTCGTGGCTGCACTAAATGTGTGTAGTGCATCTTTTCAAAGCAGACATTCCTTGGGTCAGAATTTCTATAAAGGATCTCAGGACTGGCCATGTCTCTATTCTGGTTTGCTGAAGCTCACCTTCATTTCAGAGTCTCATTTATATTCCTTTAAGAATTGATAAGGAAATAGCTATTACAAACTCCTGTTCTCCAAATGTAACTAACTCATCAGCAGAATTCCCTGTTGTGGCTTTTATTGTTGTTGCTGTTCCCAAGCTGCCAACATTATTATTTCCGTGAAACTTTAAAATTCTTTAATCTTCTGCTTATTTTGATATTAATCTGTGCCTTTATCTGTGCTACAAATACGTGTTTACCATATGAATTACAGATTTCTCCTTATGGCCACAAATCACTTGCAATTAAAAGCTCCTGATACTGGATGTGGGAGGAGGGGGTTGTGTTCAAGGGCTGGCAGTGGTATTCACTTAGCCAGGAGGACACAGGGGCCTGGTCAGAGGTATTAGAGAAATGACATTCCCCTGCAGCATGCTGAATGAAAATGCCTTTTAGGCTTTCAGGAGGAGATACACACAGGTAGGTGGCTCCTAGAATCTGGTGCCCAGAAGGGAAGTTTGGGGTTGGAAATGAATGTGGGAATGAATCCTCAGCGTGTATATGGCTTTTAAAGTCTTAGGAATGGATGAGCTAAGTCAGCAGGAAAGTGGAAAGTGGGTAAAGTGATGGGGAAGTCCTAAGGCAGGAGGAGCAGAATGAGGAGAGGCTGTGTCAAGAACAGGACAGGAGGTGCAGGAAGCAGCTGTAAAGCAGCAAAGCCAGTGAGACAGAGATAATCAGCACAAGGCACTCAGTCCAGTGCTCTGGAGAGGGCTCAGACACTGGGAGAGCAGGGTCCAGACACCACTGTCCTTGATCCCAACGCTGGGTGAGCAGAAAGACTGGCTTAGGTGCAGGGCATTCTATGGTATGTTGCAGCCATTTGTTCACCCTAGCGGAGAGACTATTGAGAGATACAGACCCAAGTTCAAACCCGGGTAACACTAGTTCCCGATGGAAACTTTGGGCAGGTAGTTCTATTCACATCTTTCAAACACAGCCCCTCTTACTTTGCTGGGTTTCTGTGAGGACAGCCAAGAGGACTCATTACAAGGTAGCTGCCACTTCCATTAGGGATGCATTAGGGAACACCCTCTGTGCTCTTTTGTTCCTTTTGGTCTCAAATTTGGCTATAATTACATTTTTCAATTAGTACACCAAGACATCTTTATTTTCTTAGCTGAATGGTCCTGTGGGTTAAACATATTAAAGATAATTTCCACAGCGCACTTACAGCAGAAATGGATTCTGATGAAGGAAGGAGTTTATATTCATCGCAGATCATTTGTATGTCTTTATTTTTACATAACATGGGATTAGGAAAAACTTCCTCAAGACCCAGTAGCATGTTGAACATGAGAAGTGATAGAACTTAGCAATGAAAAATAGGGTCCCATTCCTACAATGATCTAAATTAAAGTCCCCAATATCAGACCATCAGTAGCATCTCACCTTAAAGTGTAAAGGATTTTCCCATCATTCCAAATTCTGAGGAGCTGATTAGGGGTGGTGATCCAGTGAGCCTCTGCAGTTTTGGAATTGCGGAATATTGTATCTGGAATCCATATTAACCCCACCATGTTGCTGTTCAGAGTAAGTATTTTCATTGTGCTGTTGAACCGAAGGCGACTGTCGGTCCAGGTCTGGGCAAAAAATATATCAATTTGGTATTCCTGAAACACAGCAAAAGGAGGGGCAAGACATTTCTATTAGTGGATTTTCTGCAGGTTTTGTTTTCTTTCTCAGGAGTATGGTTCTCCTTATGTCTGCATCCTCACCTGCCCACATCCCTTTCTGTTAGTGCCTAACACTGTGCCTGGATCAACGTGATGGACATTCAATAAAGGTAACTGATATTATTTGTCAACAGTGTGATAACATATGTGAAAATGTTCTGTAAATAATAAATTGTAATAAACACATAGAGTGTGGTGAGGGGCCAAGAGGTAGTAGAATACAATTCAGAACATAGATGCAGACTCTCCTATATTCCTAAGTCCAAGCTGTGGCAGGTATCAAAATCTACCATTCTCTAATCTGTAAAATGGGTAGAATAGTAGTGCTTACCTCCTAAAGGGGTTATATGGAAGGAAATAAATAGTTAAATAAAAAGCTCTAGTGCCTGGCATAAAACAAATTATCCAGAAAGTATTAGCTCAGATAATAATAATTATCATTTTCACTCAAGAGCCTTCTCAAATAACACAATGCAAATCAAAAAGCAAAAAATAAGCAATGACAAAAAAAAAAAATAGAGCTGATAGACACCCAAGCCGAATGCTGATTCTGAAAAAGGGCTGATGGCACTCAAATTACTTCTGTAACTGGAAGCAACCCCAGTATTTACAGCATTAGATACAGGATGGGGCTGACGTCACTGTGAGACATGGAGAAATGTCTTGAGCCTGGACCACCTCAGAGGCTCCTCCCATAATCACAGTTTAAAGGATTAGCTTTAGGTCCATAGTAAGGAGGAGCTAGAGGAAGACTGTTAGTGATTTTAATATCTTTCATAGTTTCTTTACATATTAGATATTATAAATGAATTACTTTTACAGAGTTCAGTAATTTTCAACAAATCCCATATTTACCCTTTTCATTGAGTTTCTGGTTTAAAGAACCTTTTTGACACAGGTAATTCAACAGACCAAATCCAGCCTTTTATTAACTTATCCCCTCATTCATCATGTCTTTGTTGCACTGACTATGTCAGACCCTGAAAACCATTGAAGGCCCAGAACTGTGCCAATAGGAAAAGCCCCTGCCTTCATGGGGCTTATATTCCAGTCAGGGAAAACAGGCCTTAAACAGACAATTAAGGTGAAAAAACATGACATGTCGGATGTATTGACTGCTATTGACTATGCTTGGTAAGTTAACACAAGAAAGAAATTATCTCAGAGGATAATTGGCTGGTTTGAAAGCAGCTATGAAAGTGTGAACAGAGACTGTTGCCTGCCATTCCAGTAAGCAAAGAATGTTGCCCCAATTTCCAGTTCTACAAGGACCAAGCCATCAGCCCCTGCAGTGGTGTGCCCTGAGGGGAATTCAGGATGGAGAATAACAGGAAGTATTTTGTGCTTTGGAAACTGGCCCTAGATAGTTAAATGCATATTTAAGGAATAATGTCAATGAACTTAGATTCTTACATCTTCCCATACATAGAAAAGCACCAAAATCATTAACCTGAAATATCTGTTCTTTGTAATTAGCAGTGATCTTTTGATGTTTGACTACATTTTTTCCCAGCAAAAGTCTATGTATCCTGGCTTCTCCCTTAACTCTTCAGAGCAGTTCCTCAGAACTATCTGAAAGGCTGTCTCCCAGGCTTAAGTCCTCAGTAAGATCCCCAGATAATAACTTGCAACTTTTATTTAGTTGAAAAAAGAGAAAAGAAAGATAAAACAAACACTGATTCTTGTAGGAATGGAAGAAGCAAATGTTTCTCACCCTATCAGTAAATCAAAGATTCAAGAAATGCTTTGACTGTTAAAAGCCTATTGAAACTCACCTTTGCAGAAATAATCAGACCCATTGCTAAAAATCTCTAAATGGGTTAAGTTGTCATGATGCAAAATCTTTGTGCAAATATGGCTCCAAGGACAAGTGACTAATATATGACTCTTCCACTGAACACTGATGGGACCAAGGTGTCTGTACTTAATTTAAGAGAAAAATTAAAGGTGAGAGTGAAGGCAAAGGGTTCGGTAGAGGCAGTGGCATTGAAAACAAAGGCATATCATGGATCTTGGAATCGTGTTGACACAAGATCTATGCAACTGTTAAACTGGCCTATCAGGTAAGAGGCTGGCTGGGTTTTGAGAGAGTTCTACTGCCAAAGGAACCTCAAGTCAGGAAAAAATGTCTGTGACTATTTGAGACTTAGATGTACTCTTGCATTTCTTTTTGTGATGGGTAGATCGTGGCTTGGAAAAGCTGATTGGACCCCAAAGGAGGCTTATTCTCCAATGTTAACTTTTCCATGGCCAGAACAGTTAATGGAAAAGGAAAACTCCCAGACAATGGAGTCAAGAGCCAAGGAGAAGAGTTCTTGGGAGCCCAACTCTGGGAGCAAGTTAAAGCTTAATCAAAGACACTCTCTTCCCAGGGAAGAGAGCCCACTCAGGATCTGCCCACTGGGGTCTCAGAATTGCTGCAAACCAATGGGTTGATTGTGATTATCCTGGCCTTTCTTCATCCTTGTAGCTATACTGTATATGTAGGTGTGGGTTAGATAGCTTTTCTTTTCAGTTTAGAGGTCGGTGGATCAAGGAAAGCCATGTGCAAACTTGATGTGAAGACGTACACATACAGGTAACTATGACGTTGGGGATGGGACTGGGTGGACCTTTGGGGTTACCTCAATTGAAGAAGGGAGGAGTGTGTCTGTCCTGATTAGGGAGAGACAGACAAAACATTTGGCAGCTAAAGACAGATCATGGTGGTCATTGGTACTATTCACCAAGTATTGCAGCATCCCTCCTTGTGGGCACATGATAGATTCACATGCTCCCATTTTAGGCCCTGAGAGACTGTGCCCACATGATCAGTGTCTAGATGATTCACACCAGACATGTATTGTAGGTGAAAAGGTAGAGAGAGTGGGATGCAGGGGCGGGGGCTGTGGTCCTCACTGAGAAGGTGACTTAGAACAAGACCTCAGTGAGGTACAGGAGTGAGCTGGGCAGATAGATGCCTCCCTTGCTAGGGCCCTGAACACAAGAAGCAGGAAAGTCAAAGACACTCCTGAGAAGTAGGAATAATGCTGTGGTACAGATTCAGCCAAATGGGGCAGGGGAGCAGACCCCTCACCTCCTTGATGGCAAGATTTTAGCCAAACAATGATGATTGCTGACTATAAAATAGAGACTATATTTGAACAGAGAACATGAGAACACACTCAAAACTTTAAGTAAAATTCAGGCTGTGAGAATAGCCAGTACAGTACATATAGGTATCTAAACGAATTACTTCCTTTTTCCCTTTAACACTGGGTTATTGGGTAAAGGAATAAGGAGAGAAGGATAAAGATGTTCTCCTCAACAGGGCCAAGGTCCACCAATCATGTGGGTAATGATAGCCAGTAAAGACTGTTTTCTGTAAAGGCCTCAAGTGTATTTTTGAAAGAATCTAAAACCAACCAGATTTTTTAAAATCCCTATATTATATCAGGGATATTGAAACTCAGAAAACTTCAATAATTTTGCCAAAGTTACCAAAGGGCTCCAAGTAAAAATTTCCAAGTGGGTCTTTTTATTGTTTAAAAATGAAAAATCAGAAAGTCTCCTAATGACAAAATAGTCCTCCTCTTTACGCCCTTTCCCTACTTATCTTCTCTGCTTTCCATCCCCATTTATGTCCCTTCACAATACGTTTTAAAATGCAGATCTGAGGGCTTCCCTGGTGGCGCAGTGGTTGAGGGTCCGCCTGCTGATGCAGGGGACGCGGGTTCGTGCCCCAGTCCGGGGGGATCCTGCGTGCCGCGGAGCGGCTACGCCCGTGGGCCATGGCCGCTGGGCCTGCGCGTCCGGAGCCTGTGCTCCGCAATGGGAGAGGCTGCAGCGGTGAGAGGCCTGCATACCGCAAAATAAAATAAAATAAAATAAAAAATAAAATGCAGATCTGAGAAGGGTAAATCATATATCAAGCTAAGCAGCATCACCTAAAGTCACCCCCATGAGGCACAGATGCTTTTGTACCCACCAGGCACTGACTATTAAGACAGACAATAATGATTTTCTGCTAGGGGGTAAAACGAGGCCTGAGAGGTTAAGTAACTTTCATCAAGTCACACAGCTGCTAAGTACCAATTGTGCCAAACTATATAGTCAAAATCTTCTTCCCAGGAGAAAAGGGAATCCTCCTACACTGTTGGTGGGTATGTATATTGGTGCAGCCACTGTGGAGAACAGTATGGAGATTCATTAAAAAAATAAAAATAGAGGGCTTCCCTGGTGGCACAGGGGTTGAGAGTCCGCCTGCTGATGCAGGGGACGCAGGTTCGTGTCCCGGTCCGGGAAGATCCCACATGGCGCGGAGTGGCTGGGCCCGTGAGCCATAGCTGCTGAGCCTGCGCGTCCAGAGCCTGTGCTCCGCAACAGGAGAGGCCGCAACAGTGAGAGGCCTGTGTACCGAAAAAAAAAAAAAAATAGAACTACCATTTGATCCAGGAATCCCACTCCTGGGCATGTATCTGGAGAAAACCATAATTCAAAAAGATACATGCACCCCAGTGTTCACTGCAGCACTATTTACAATAGACAAGACATGGAAATAACCATCCAGTGACAGGTGAATGGATAAAGAAGATGTGATATATGTATACACACACACACACACACACACACACACACGCACACGCACACGCACACACACACACACACAATGATATATTACTCAGCCATAAAAAGAATGAAATAATGCCATTTGCAGTAACATGGATGGACCTAGAAATTATCACACTAAGTGAAATAAGCCAGACAAACACAAATATCATATCATATCACTTATTTGTGGACTGCAAAAAAGGATACAACTGAACTTATTTACAAAGCAGAACAGACTCACAGACATAGTAAACAAATTTATGGTTACCAAAGCAGGGGTGGGGGAGGGACAAATTAGGAGGTTGAGATTAACGTACACACACTACTATATATAAAATAGATAAACA